GTATCAATTTCTTCCAAATCATCTGAAGCATCTTTATGTGATTCAGTACTATTATAAGGAGGGGATTGACCATATGACCAAATATAACCGGTTCGAATTTTCTTCCTTTCTCGTTTCATTGTATCAAACTCGGCATCAGCATATTCCTGAAGTCCTTGTTGCGCAATTTGAAATCCTTGTTGAGCTATTTTATGAACAGATTGCCTTCCCCTTTTCTATCATAAGTTCGATAAGAAGTGAATAAGAAGTTGTAGGATGCATCAAAGAGATTAATAAGTACTTGCCTTGTCAATCTCCAATTCCAAATCGATCAAATTGGAATCTAACTTCAATGATGTGATTTGCTCCTTTTTCATCCAAACTTTGTTATTTTGCATGTTCTCCATCTATATATATAGGTAATTAGGTTAGTGATGTACTCTTTGAAGTATTGGATGGGATGGAAGTTCACAAGATGCCACGGACACTCGTTCTGACCAACGTTTCTATGCCTACGCACACGCGGTGCTACCCGTCGGTTTTGCACTCGGAAAAAACCTTCTCAACACTCGGTTGCCGGATTAGACATAGAGTACGCCAGCTACGTTTCTATAGCCACGCACATGCGGTGCTACCCGTTGGTTTTGCACTCGGAAAAAACCTTCTCAACACTCGGTTGCCGGATTAACTACAGAGTACGCTAGCACCATCAAAACTGCGAAGTCGCAAAAAAAAAATGATACTTCCCTTCAAACCATTTTGCAAATCACAAGCTATTTTATAAGCAGGTTCTGTGCTATCGTATATCTGCTTTAGGACTCTAAATTCATCAGCCAATGCTGAGTGTGAATTTCGTTTATTAATCGTTGTTGAGTGTGGCAGTTCAATCCAGTAAATGTCCCAATCGTTGACGTTCCCCCAGGTATTAGGGTCTCGGTCCCAGTAATCTAAATAGCCAAAGTTTTTACCACTCGTTTGTCCTGACTAATAACAATAATAGATATAAAGTAGCAGACTTACCTGGATGTTTTAACTTTAAGCGATCCTCTTTTGACATGAATAAAAAAATTTTAATTTATAATTATAGTTACGTGAGTGATACACTGATACTTACACTGATACTATACCGAAAAAGATGTGGTCACATGACTGATGATAGATAAAAATTATGTCTTGCGCTTCTCGCCGATCACTTTTTGCAAAGAAACTTTATTATTGATTTTTCAGATTCATAAAGGTAGCGAATGAAATGTATGATGCTATCAAAGAGGGAGGGAGTACGCGGATCCTAGGCCATTTAATGCGAGTCCCAGCATCAATTGCTTTCTATGAAAATATCTATAGCTAATTTTTTTTCTATCACTATATTTAACTATGAGATTACATTTTCTACAAATACTAAATAAATTATATCTACAACATCCCCGCTAATATAAATCACTCATACCAACACAGATTATATAATTTTCGATTTTAGCCAAGTTCCGCTTCATGAGATTGAATAATTTCGAATCTACAGCATAAATCAGGAAATTAGCAACTGATGTAAAAAAAGTAAATGTAATGTTACCGATTCACACTTACTACTTCTCATTTTCAGAATATTCAATCCGCATTGACTTTAAGAAATTTTTTTATCTCCAGTACGATACTGCCAAACATTATTTTTTAATGTAATGCGCACTGTGCCTTTGCATGTGACGAGATTCATATGAATAGTTTCACTGCGTCTATTGTACGCGTGATGATTGTCAAAGATTTTCTCGACGAAGATCAGAATGCCGATACATAGCAAGAAGAGTAATATATCCGTTTTATTTTGAAACATCTATAGAGACAGAAAATCGATTAACATCGTGATGACATGTCTCAAGAAGTTAGCCGAGCAATTACGTTGCGGAAAATAAGAGTTCGTTTGATTGTTAATATCAATGATGCAAATAATGGTAAGTTAGGTTGGTTTTATTAGTTTTATTTGATTTTTATTTTACTTGCATGAGGCAGATAAAAGGATTCACTAACAAGACATCACCTTTTTATATAATTTGCAGGATCGATCTTGGAGTATGCTTGGGAAAAAATTATTTTAATATGATCGCATCACAAAAATCTGATCAACGGCTTTAACGCTATTCATATGTAAGATCATCAAGGGGTTATAGATATTTTTAAGAATGTGCGAGAATGTTTGAGAATAAATTATTATGCGCAGTTGCTTGTTCCCATGATACATATCACGATTAGCATAATATTACTGCGCATTATTTTGGATATAACTACGAAAGAATCTTGTGAAGGCGGTCAAAGTGGCGTGTGAAATGCTGGTGATCTGACAACCTACAAAATACTAGTTTCTGGTTCTAGGAATCTGCCGTTAAGGTGCTTCGCTAAAGGAGGTGAGAAATTAGTAGGTTGTTATGTAAGAATTCATAGCTACCCGGTGTATCCCAAAATGTATTATTAGTATTATTTAAGGATTGAAACATCAACCGCTTACGAAACGTGGTCCACGAGATGATCGGCCGATCTACCTATTTTTCTAGTGGTAGAGTCTGAACACGGTATCTGAGCTCGGCAGAAGTATGGATTGAATCATATTACGCAGTACATTGTAGCAAAGTGAAGGAAAATAGTTCTTTCGGGAAAACAGTTATTGGTAACGGACACATTTAGTAGGGATCGTATTCACATACATGAGTTAAAAAACAGAAGCCCTATTGGGCAAACTTTATTTACGATTGATTGCTTTAT